TTAACAAAAAATTAACAAGTATTTTTGGATTTTTTTATATAAATATATTTGAGATAAAGATAAAATGAATAATATGAGATGGGAGAATGTAAGTAATGTTAATTACAACAAAATGTGGATTGTTAGGAAAGTAAATTACTTGAAATGTAAAGTGATCAAAAATTAAACAGAAGGAGATGAAAAGTCAAAATTGCATGAAATGTAAATTATATGAAAAATAAGATACATGGGATGAGAATGACTAGAAACGTAAATGGCAAGAAAAGTAAATTTCTTGAAATGTAAATTGAAGAAAGAAAAGGAATTGAAAATTAAGAAAAAAAAATTCATATACTCTAATTAAAAAACTGACTAAAAATCCAACAGTAAAAAAAATATCTAAATATTTTTTCACATAAATAACTATTGGTATTAATTATGTAGGAGTGCATATAAATATTTTTTATTATAAATTAATGTCCTGGTCTTACAAAAAAAGAAAATGAGATTGATACTCAACAACAATATTATCATCACTTTTAAGAAATTTATAAACTTTTTTAAGTTTTATTTAGTGACGAATAGAATTTCGTCGCTAATTTTAACTAATATTTAGCGACCGAATAGAATTCCGTTGCTAGTTTTAATTAATATTTAGCGATCGAATAGAATTACATCGCTAATTGTAAGTAATATTTAGCGATTGAAATTAATTTCGTCGCTAAAAAAATCAAAATTTCTGATTTAGCGACCGAATTCAATTTTGTCGCTAATTTTAACTAATATTTAATGACAAAATTCAATTTCATCGCTAAATTTAACTAATATTCAGCTACCAAGTTCAATTCTGTCGCTAAATTTAACTACTATTTAGCGACTGAATTCAATTCCGTCACTAATTTTAACTAATATTTAGCGACCGAATTCAATTCCGTCACTAAAAAATCAAAATTTCTAATTTAGCGACCGAATTCAATTTCGTTGCTAATTTTAACTAATATTTAGCGACTGAATTCAATTCCGTCGCAAAAAAATAAAATTTCTGATTTAGCGACGGAATTGAATTTGGTCGCTAAATTTAACTAATATTTAGCGATCGAATTCAATTCCGTCGCTAAATTTAACTATTATTTAGTAACCGAATTCAATTTCGTCGCTAATTTTAACTAATAGTTAGCGACTGAATTAAATTCCATCGCTAAAAAAATCAAAATTTCTAATTTAGCGACCGAAATAGCGACGGAATTTAATTTTGTCGCTAAAAAAATCAAAATTTCTTATTTAGCGACCAATTTCTAGCGACGACTTATTTTGGTCGCTAAATCGGTCGCTAATTTGATTATTCATAATCGATCGCTAAATTAGTCGATAAATAGCGACTGATAAATTTCGGTCGCTATTTTGCAATTTTCTAGTAGTGGCCTTAACCTTCCCTTAACCCTCCTTTAGTTAAAACACTTAATCCCAGTTACAAACTCCTTTTCCTTTTAATAAATATTATAATAACCTTTAATAAAATCAGTATATATTATATTCTAAAATATATTAAATAATTAAAATAAATATTTAACAATCCCTACTAATAAAATAAAAATATCAAAATTATTAATAAAATACTTATATTATGTTTTATGAAAAATGGGGTCTTACACCGACTATCCTCTAAATACTATGCCTTAGGCCCTTATGCTTGGCATGGTAAAGTCCCATGTCTGACCTTAATCCAACCCGAGACTATTTTCTCCGTACACTCTCGACACCATTCAAACCATGTTCGATGTCATTTCAATCCGAGGCAATTCTCTCCTGACATTCGACATGAACAACACAAAGCATCTTAGATTGAAATCATGCTTGATGCCATGACAACATGCTTGAGACGAAGGTGAATTCTACACTTAGTAGACCACAAATTTGGCTCAATCCACCTAAAAACCAAAAAATACCAAACATGCAAGGTATCAAACAACATATATATACAATCCACAACTCATTTTGCACCATAAATCCAACATGCACCCAAATATCACCGTAATTCATCAAATTATTATCTTCAAAAATGACTAAACCAAGTCCAACAACCAACCTCAAAATGATGCAACTCAACTATGTAATTGCAACCATTTAATATCTAAATCATGCAATGATTCAACAACAACTAAACAATCCAATAAGAACCAAGGATCTAGCTGTCCTTACTTTGAAGTTGAGAAGAGAAAAGGAAGGATAAGAATGACTTCGAGAAAACTCCGCACCTGCACAAATCCTTAGCTTCAAAAACTTTGGATTCACCACACCACTAATCAACAAGGATCCTCTATAACCTCAGGGAGTCTAGGAAGAAGAGAAGAAGAATTAGAACACCAGAGTCTTTCTCTCTAGTTTATCCCTCTAGGTTCTCTAAGAAATGAGTTTATGAGACTCAAATCTTAAAAGAAACCTTATATACTCCTCCCCTTAAGGTCAAACTAAGCCTCTGTCTAGAGAAACTCTTTAAATACCTAAAGACTCCTTAGGAGTTTCTTAACTTCTATAGTCTCTCAATACCACATCTTAGCACACTAAAACATACAATTATTGTTAAAAGATAATAATTAACAAAAACTCAGTGTTACAAAATGTATATGCAATTGTTGGTGGTGAATTTTGCTTTTATTTTTGAATTAAACTAAATTGGTTTGAGATTTTTTGAAAAAGTCTTCAGCAACAAATTTATCTAAACGTAGGTCTTTTACCAAAATTTACAATTATTGAGGATATCTTTTTAGTTGAACCACTAATTGCACCAAGTTTTAAAAAGAATGCATATGATTGTTACTTAGTACTCCTAGTTTTTTTTTTTTAATTATCTTAAATATATACTTCTTCAACATAAGTAGTAAAATTGACTAATGAATAGAATGGTAAGGATTAGGTCTAAATCATCCCATTCTACAAATATAAACATTTGAACATGGACCATTCATGACCAATAAAAACATAAAAATAAGCATTAAAGGTGACAGTATATGATAGAAATGGAAAGTGTATCCAAAGAGGAGTTCCACTAAAAATGCTAAAAAGATTGTCTAAACTAAAAGGACTAGACTCTCTAATGCGAAAGATAGGATCCTCCTCATAGTGAAGTCTAGGTGTATGACTAAAGCCTAAAAAGTTAAAAAGACTAAAACTATAGCACACTAA